CACACATAGAGAGATAGATAGATAGATAGATAGATAGATAGATAGATAGATAGATAGATAGATAGATAGATAGATAGATAGATAGATAGATAGATAGATAGATAGATAGATAGCACACCACAGTGCACTGAGTTTTCTAAAATGCCTTGAAGCCTTAGTTGAAGTTTGAGTTGACATTTGGCATTCAGGTGTGAAACTTAAGCAGGTTTGTTGGTTCCTGTTGTTCATTTCAATGCTGGTAAGGTTTTGATATAAACGTTAGAGATCACATGTGGGGAGCAGAGAGGACAGCTTAGCTGCTTTTCTGAAAAGTCTGCATCCTTTGCCAGCAGGAGATGCAACTAAAATCTTAAAAAAACCTCAAATATTTATTTCCAGAGATGGGCTGTAGCAGTTTATCCCACTAATGAAAACTAATATGTCTGGCTTTTATTTATTTACCAGTGAAATATCAGTTGTTATGGCATAAAATGAAAGGGTCTCGTGGTAATTTTGTGTCTCTTGTGCTTATATAGGGAAATCATAAATATAGCACAGCATGGGCTGCTGTTTGTATTACGAGGATTAGGTCACTTATCCATACAAGCGGATGTGAAGACAACAGGGCAACCAACAGTAAGTATTCTGCATCAGTTCTGATTGATTGATGCTTCAAATTTAGTTTTTTTTCCCGGGCTGTCTGAGATGTCTGAGCTACAGCTGTTAAAGAACAAAGTCAAAGTTTTATCTAACACTTGAAGGTAGTAAAATTTAAATGTCTAGTCTAGTTAAATATGTGTCTGCAGATACATGTGTCTGAGAAACCAGACACGACCATTTCTCTTCTGGCCAAACGTCTTGAGCAGAGCTGCAGTCCAGGCGACGGAGGCTGGAGACTATTGTCCTTGTAGAATTTATGGGTTTTGATATTGTAACAGTTAGTTGATGATAAGAGGCTTGATCAACTAAAATTGTATTACTCAGAGTTTTTAAACTCACAGGATATGGTGTAATGAATCAATGCATCACATTATGAATTAACCCTGTAGCTATAAAACGATAGTGAAGCTATATCTTGCTTTACAAGCATAACATCTATGCATATATTTATAGAGAGCACAATGTCTACATTCAAATAGAAAACAAATCTTCCCAGATATAAGCTGCTTTTCCACCAGGTGCACTCAGGTACAGTCCTGTCGTGTTTCCATATGAGCCTGGAACAACGCTGCACGAATACAAGCCGCTCTCTTTCCATAACTGTATGCATGGTTGGACAACTCTGTTGAACCATGTTGGAGTGGTAGAATGCTTGCACACATGATGTCGCCACTCTGTTGCTTGGCTGCTAGTTTCTCCATAGCTGGCTAGTCAGAAGCATATTATTTATTTATTTATTTATTTAGATTTTGTTATTCAACGAAGTAAACATCAGAAAAAAAAAGAGTCCCAAAGACAGAAATATCTCCGTTTACATTACACTCACGTTACCAAGGCAACAACTGATGCATTTGTATCACATTCCAAAAGTTCTGTTATCAGCCCCAGAGTGGGAAATTAAACCGTTCCGTATCCTGACTGGCCCAAAACAGTAAAGCAAACAGAACCATTTGGCCATTCGCACTTGAGCATTTATTAGGCTGTGTAGGCAATTAAAGGCTCATTATTATTTAAATTGTTTAATAATACACTTATATGTTGTTGAAGTAAATACACATATAAATATCCTGTCATGTCATGTGAAATGAATCCCAGACTTATTGTTTGGCTTTATGGGACGTCTAGAGGAGCCTTGGATATTACATTTCTAGAGGAGCCATGGATATTACATTCGAGTTGCCCGTTTGTGTTTTTGCCATTAGCTTGCATTTTTATGAATTACCAAACATCACCATTTTGGATATCCTGAGGTTGAGCAAAATAAAAGTTAATCTAAGTTTTATGTTATTTAAAATTTTTAAAGAAGCTAAAATGATTTGTGCTTTTATCGAGTAGTTTTGTTGTGTTAAAGTTTTTTTATTTTCCTTATTTTCTATTTTAATATTTCATCATCTTATTATCTAGTGCTATTCTTGTACAGTGTGAAAATAGGGGTTTGTCTTCTCTGCAGAATGTTCTGCTCTGACTTGGCATTGAACTTTATGCATTAAACTAAAAATGCCCCTTTACCTTCATGCATTTACCAAATACCTTTACAGCATCATCTTTTGTTGAGCTGAACTTAATACTACGACATTCACACTGGCATTGAATTGAATTTTATCAGTATGATCTCACAGCTAAATAGACACTTTACTAATCTAAACTTGTTGAGAAATGTACTCGGCTGTGCTCGTGGTAATCTCTGCAAAACTGCTTTCACACCATCTGTATTGCATTAAGCTTTATACAGGTAAAGGTGACTTGACTACACTTTTGTCCTATCAAGATAGGTTTACATTTTTTTGTGAGTTCAGTGTTTCTCATTTATGTACATATTTTAGCTGATGTATTGTTGTATTTGGGAGTGAACTGTAGAAAAGAGAATTCTAGTCATCAAGGTGAGGAGTACTGAATCCATGAATCGATGTCTCCTGTTAAAAAACAGGAGTATGTGATGAAGTGTGAAACTGGAAAAAGTGATAAAAGAACAGAATCATAATTCACAATTTTAATGGACGTAGTAAAACTCAGCACGAACAAATCATATTTTATGCTTGCTGTGTCATATTAAATGTCTGCTTTTAGGAGAAGTGTCTCATCTTCATTCTTCATCTTTGCTCTTAAAAAAGCAAAATAACAAACATTACGATTCTGTTGCATGTGAAGTATACATTTTCTTTACTTTATCATCATTTATTGGTACCTTTCCTACATCGCGGCTCTTGGCTCTCAGCTTGTTGACCTGGGACTCGGCGATGTCAGCGCGCTCCTGAGCCTCCTCCATCTCATGCTGCACCTTCCTGTACCTGGACAGGTGAGTGTTGGCCTGCTCCTCCTGTTGGGATTACACAAGATATCCATCCACTTTTATCTGTCATTTTATCAAAGCGTCACACTGCAGGAGGCATTGGATATTAGACTTACAGCTTCTTCAGCCTGGCGCTTGTAGGCCTTCACTTTCAGCTGCAGCTTGTCCACCAGATCCTGCAGGCGAGTCACGTTCTTCTTGTCTTCCTCGGTCTGTCGGTGTAAATATTGTTAGTAGCCTTAAACTATGTATATTACAAACTGCAGTGTAACATTTCAAATTCCTGTGCTGCTTTACCTGGTAGGTGAGCTCCTTCACCCTCCTTTCATATTTACGCACTCCTTTAACAGCATCTGCACCGCGTCTCTGTTCAGCTTCAA